CTTTCCCACGACATTCTAATTTATTGAGATGCACCTGTATATACATACAACATGTCTAACTTCCTTTTGAAATATCTGCTCACTCTCAGGGTCTATGCCATCTCACACAGAGTCACTGAGGAGTCAGGCAGAAAAGTAAACCCTGTATATAAGCAGTCTTTGAAAGTAGTGTGGTGCGTGTGCAGGTGAGTTAGGCTGTCATTACGAATGCTGTAATATGACAAACTTCCATGTTCCAAGTCCACATAAACTCCTACTCTTCTAGACCGAGCAGACACAGGGAACTCACAAGTAATATCATTATCCTGCCACAGTTTCAGTTTGCCATCCTGACAGAGCAGAGCAGGGAACGGGTTATTAACTCCCATTATATTCACTTTTCTATCTGGAGTCTTATAGGCCACTCCCACTCCAACTCCACCATCACACTCCACCTCAAAGTAACAGCGATCAGTCAGAGCCTCTCTGCACATGGCCTGGGGATACAGCTTGAACCTGTCCAGATGATCAGGATATTTCTGCTCCACTATAGTTTCGGTTATTTTCTGGTTTCCATTAGAAAGTTTTAGGCGTGGATGTACTGTGTTTAGATCCACTGTGAGCTGACAGACATCTGCAGAAAACAGGGCATTTGTTTTCACTGGTTATTTAAATTTGCTTCCATATTGTGATGTTATTCTAATTAAAATGACTATCAAAAAAGAAAAAAAAACATAGGTTGAGACTTGATTTTATCCACACTCTTTATTACTGGATTGTGAAATGTGAGCACTGTATACTGAAATGGAGGCAGATCTGAATGTGATTGGCTGAAATGCAGTTATGCCCTGTATACATGTCATAGGCGTCACCTGACTAACACATCAGCTGACATTAAAAACAGAGGAGTTTCTTTTCCCATATAAAAGTTGATTATATGTTTTGAAATTAAATATAAAGTTCTATTTTGTGCCTTTGCATAAAATACCTACATTTTCTCAGACCTGGTTTCATCCGAAATTCTCCTCCTTTCTCAACACTGAGGGAAAGCAAACACACTGAGATTTAAAATACAAAGAACTGCTAAAAGAGCAGCATTTAAAATAAAGCTTGCAATAATGTAGAAACTTATCCATAAAGATAATGAGCAGAACAAATATGATCATAGTGTCAAACTATAATGTCAAAATCCCTACATGTAATATTATGTAAATCAAAATAAGCACATACTGTAGTGTCTCCAGTTTACAGCTTGGATCATCTTTTTTAGCGTAGAGCAGTTTCACTCCTAAGTCTCCAGGGTGGTTGTAGCTCAGATCCAGTTCTCTCAGATGACCAGTGTTTGAGGTGAGAGCTGAGGCCAGTGATCTGCAGCCCACCTCTGTGATCATACACCCCGACAGTCTGCAGGTAATGTTAAAAAGAAGAGTGTTTTTAGAGCAGCAGTTCCCAGCAGGATTGTGGATGTCTCTCTCATCTGACAAAACCATTTCAGGTCTTGGATTCTCTACTAACATGCTGACGAGTTGGATCGTGTGTTTTATTACAGAATGTGCAGAGTTGGGAGCACTCCAGGACCTGGATCTGGAAACTCTGTTCTAGAGCAACTGATTCCAAAGTTACAATAAAAACCAGACTCCAAAATGAACCCAAGTACTTTTTCGATCATTACAAATCACTCTGTCAAATGTGTTTTACACCTTACCACACAGTCCCAATGCAAAATTTGCCACCATGATGCTTTGGTGTTGTAAGTGGTTGACAGTGTTTTATGCAGTTGCAAAGGTGTTTTGAGTGTTTTTTATTTCTTTACTGGTTGCTTGCATGTTCCGGCTAATTAGTTAGAACTGTGTGACTTGTCAGTGCAGTCTGCGTCTTTGCCTGTTTCACTGTAAGTCAGGTCGTTTAGAAACAGCACACCTTTTAGATGCGTAGTTCATGCTTAACGCTTAAGGATTTTTCAATTCTCTAACCTTAGGTATGAACAAAAGTCATATTGATGCATGCAAGAACCTCTAATAGAATAACTACAGATGATATTTTCTGCTAATATTATAATACAGTAATTGTCATAATTTACCCCAGTATCTCTAATTTGCATTGTGGATCCTGTAGTCCTATTGAGAGGTGCTTCACTCCTGAATCCTGCAGATCATTGCTTTTCAGCTCCAGCTCCCTCAAGTGTGAGTTAGATTTCATAACTGTTACTAGATATACACAGCTTTTCTTTGTGAGACCACACCGCTTTAACCTGTTGAAAGAGGCTGATTACATCACATACCAACTTAGCCAATGACAAATCTAAACGCTCTTACCAACAAGACCATACTTACTTGAGTTTCTGAAGTCTACAGTATGGACTAATTAGTCCATCACAGAGCTTATTCATTCCCGTATCACTTATCTTATTGTAACTCAGATCCAGTCTTCCCAGGTGTGAGTTTGCTGATTGGATAGCTGAGACCAAATTTGAACAGAATGCTGATGGGAAATTACAGCCAGCCAGACTGAGATGCAGAAACAGAAAGCAGATACAGCAACTAATCAATGAGCAGTAACCATTTGCTCGTGGTTTTGTCTAATCTTTTTTTTTTTCTACTTTTTTACAATTGCAGTTCTACTGTGAAGGCACAAGAAAAAAAATCAGTGGTCAAATCTATCACTTTTGGTTTATACAAGTTACTTACTGTATCTATGGCTGGTCAGAACAATGCAATTTTGTAATATTCCCACTGCCTTCTTTGTCTACTAAGAGGAAACACCCCTTCCTTGTAGTACATAATTTTACACATTTTGATCAAAGTAGTCCTTCTTCATGTCTAAAACATATTAATGAAGCAAAAATGAGTCTGTGCAAGAAATGACTACGTACACTACTTACCTGATTATTTCCAATTGGCAATGTGGATCTGTTAGACCAGTCAAGAGGATGTTCACTGCAGACTTGTCTAGTTTATTGTTGCTCAGATCCAGCTCTCTCAAGGGTGAATTGACTGACTGCAAAGCTGATGCTACTATTCTACAGGACTCAACTGAAAGATCGCAACAATCCAATCTGTAAACGAGAATACATTTTATGTTTTATTTATTTTTGTTTGTTTGAATTAATGCTCAGTGACTAAGGTTATTCAGACAATCCATTCATATTGTTCCTTAAATGTGGAAAAGGAAGTCTCAGTTCACTTGTCTAAATTTTGTTTAAATAACACTTTTAATGGGCATGTAGAGAAAACAAGGTTCCCAAAATATCTGGAGGTATAGCAGTGTATATATTATAAACAATTAATGAACTGACCTGGCCCTTTTGCAGATCCTGAGCACCGGCAGCAGTCTGAGCTGGTTTGCTGTCGATGTGTGAAATTTCTTCATGTCAAACTCATCTAATTGCTCTCCAGATTTCAGCAAGACATAAGCCAGTGCTGACCACTGCTCGGGCTCCAGCTCGCTACCCAAGAGCGTTCCTGATTTCATGGCAGTCTGGATTTCTTTAACAAGAGTGTTGTCATTCAGCTCATTTAAACAGTGGAACAGATTGATGATTCTCTCTGGTGACTGTTCCTGTTTGATCTTCTCTTGGATGAAATGCACTGTCATGTTTTTGTCTACACAGGGTTTACTTGAACTGTCTTTGGTGAGAAGGTCTTGCAGGAGAGTGCGGTTAGGGTCAACAGAAAGACCAAAAAGGAAGCGAAGGAAGAGGTCAAGATGTCCATTTTCACTCTTCAAAGCTTTATTCAGTGCACTCTGATGGACATCAGAAAGATCTGTTGATCCATTTATGTCAAGAACATTTTTCCCATCATTGACACATGCAAAGTGAGCATATATCGCTGCCAGATACTCCTGGTAGCTCACATGCACAAAGCTGTAGACCTTCTCCCTGTACAATCCCAGCTCTTCTCTGAACATCTCTGTGCACACTGAATACTCTGTGACTTTACCGACATCTAAGCCACTCTTTATCAGATCCTCTTCTTGGAAAATCAAATTGCCCTTCTCCAGTTGCTGGAAAGCCAGTTCTCCTAGTTTCAGAATCAATGTTTTGTCAAATTCAGAGAGTTTCTCTGGGTTATCAACATCAGCTCCATTAAACTTCTTATGCTTGATGCTGATCTGAATGAGCAGGAAGCGAGTGAACATCTCAGTCAGAGTTCTGGGTATCTGATCAGAGTTTCCATTACTCATCATATTTTCTAGCACAGTGGCAGAAATCCAGCAGAAGATGGGCATGTGGCACATGATGTAGAGGCTCCGACATGATTTGATGTGTGTGATGATTTCATTCGCTAGCTTCTGATCACTGATTTTCTTCCTGAAGTATGTTTCCTTTTGATGATCATTAAACCCTTGAATCTCTGTGACCCGATGGACACACTCAAGAGGGATCCGACTGGCTGTTGATGGTCTTGTGGTTATCCAGAGGAGAGCTGAGGGAAGCAGATTCCCCTTGATGAGGTTTGTAAGCAGCACATCCACAGGAACGTTCTCATTTATATCAGAGCAGTAGTCATTATTATGGAAATCAAGAGGATACTGACAGACCTCTAAGCCATCTAAAATAAAAAGCACTTTAATTTCTTGAAGATCTGCTTCTTTCAGCTCAGGAGCATATTGCTGAATAAGCTGTAGAAGACTGCAGCTCCCCTTTTTCTGGTTGAGCTCACGGAATTTTAGATAGATGATGACATTAATATCTTGGTTTGCTTTTCCATCCACCCAGTCTAGAATGAACCTCTGCACCGACACGTGCTTTCCAATACCAAATATACCCATCGTCAGGACTGTTCTGATTTGTTTGCTTTTGCTTTGTCCTGGCAGCGTCTTGAAGATGTCATTACATGTGAGAGGACTTTCTGGAGTGGTTCTGCTTTGTGAAATCAGTTCATTCCTCAACACCTCATGTTCGTTATTTATCTCTCCACTTCCACCCTCTGTCATGTACAGATCCGTGTAGATCTCCTTCAATAAACTCTGTTTACCTTGAGATGAATTTCCTTCGTTTATATGCTGACATTTGTCCTGAAGTTTTGCTTTATTGGCTTGTGTGATTTTTTGAAGTGGATTAACTAGGTGAAAATAAGAGCTGTTTAGATGCAGTGAAAATATATATAATTATGTATATAATTTTAAGTTCAATTAAATAATAGTCTCACCATTTGCCTGGAAGTGTAATGTGATTCTCAGTGCTGTCTCTCCTCCAAAGCACTCCACTATATTCACAGCAACATTTGCCCCACACATTTGGCACAGATGTGCATGTTATCTGTCTTACAGAACACTTCCAGATCTCTGTGGTGCCGCTGACAGAAAGTTTTGAAGTCTTCTGACCTCATGTTTCTCAAGACCTGATGGAGCAGGGTTTGACTGTCTGGCACATTAGGTTTCTGTGGTAAAACACAACAGTATCCAACAGAACAATGGTTATCAACCATGAATTATATAATACAAATGCCTCCAGTTCAGAGGTCTAAAGATCTCTAAATATATTAAATTTTCTGTTGGATAACAGCATGGATATTACAATAAAAAACTAACCACAGTATAGATTTTACTGTGTCCTTGGTGCTCTTGGCCCACACATTTGGCACAGATGTGCATGTTATCTGTCTTACAGAACACTTCCAGATCTCTGTGGTGCCGCTGACAGACTCCTTTAGCAGGTGTGGACTCTGTCTGCTCTTCTGTGTCTTCCACACACAGCTTTCTGCAGGAATATTCAGTATTAATCAGTTCACTTAAACTTAAGTTGATAATTTGTTTTTAATTATATAATCATTTATAACTATCTCAGCATGTTTTCTTATATGCATGCTAACTTCTTTGTAAATGTTTCATTAGACAAACCTTTCTTTATTTCTCTGTGCTTCACTGCTGAAGTTCATTGGTAATGGAATCGATCTCCCACTTCTCAAAGACAGATATGATGATGTCGGTGAGTCTGATCTCTCCTGTTTGGTTCTATGAGTAAAACAGAAGGTTTGTCACTTGACTACTCATGTAAATGAGTGTTTTCATATGAAAGTTTATATTTTTCCTCTTTCATGTTAACTTTACTGTAAATGTTTCATTAGACAAACCTTTCTTTATTTCTCTGTTCTTCATCACTGAAGTTCATTGGTAATGGAATTGATCTCCCACTCTTTAGAGACAGATGTGATGATGTCGGTGAGTCTGATCTCTCCTGTTTGGTTCTAAGGGGAAAAATGGGGAATGTATATAAAAATATTAAAAATATATAAAAAATATTCAGGGACTGAAAATATTTGCAAAACTGGTATATTGTATTTTCTATTTCTGAACAAAACTGAATTAATACATTTAATTTCTTTAACAAAATTGTTTTCCTGTATATGCCAAAGGTCATGAAATGGAACTGGTGTCTGCATTTAAGTGTAATATGAAAGCATAGTGCTATATCTGTAGCTATACTGTACATATCAAACATCTCAAAGCAAGTCTCTCTTTGTGTGTGTGTGTGTGTGTGTGTGTGTGTGTGTGTCTCAAATGCAGCATGATCTTTTCTCCTCACTAGTGTTAGTTTTCCTTGTTTAGGTCTGTGTGTTTAATACAGCTGGTTTTTGGTGATTTCAGTGGATGAATGAAGCCTGTTCTGCTGAAATGCCATCTTTACAATAAATGCCACTAAATCAATACAAAGCCAAATTGATCTTGAAATGTATGTGACTTCTTCATTGTCCTCACCGTTCAGAGTGAAGGTCCTCTTTTGAACCGCTCATACTGGCAGAGCCGTCATCACTGTCTCCAGCACTCATGATCAACAAATGGGTTCCTATGAAGACACAAGATTATACCAATGTATAGTTTTATTTCTAAAAGTGGCTTTTATGTCCCCATTTTGAGAAACTATGACTATTTTGTGTGTTCCTAATTCAGTATTCTCCTGTTTGAAACAACCATACAAAACAACTAGAGAAAACACATATTTGCATTACTGAACCTTTGACTCGAAACTTTTCTAGTTACTGATATACAGAGCATACAATGACTAGACCACGGATATTGACTCCATAAATGTATAAAAGTTAGGTATCAAAGGTCAGTTGTATAATGTCACAGCTAGCAACCTAGAATGTTAACTGAAAAACTGCTCTGAATGAGTATATATATATATATATATATATATATATATATTAGATCAGGTAACATTTTAAGCTGTCATATAGTCATGTTACAACGTGCCCCTCAGATGTTACACCCATGGGGCATGTTGTCACATTTCACTTCCATTCTTTTGGGGTAAATAAAGAAAAAACGTGTACACTGTATTCATGAAACAAAACCACATATTTGTACTAGACAAGTGTGACATTTGTGGGGGAAAAAATACTCTGAACCTCCATGTGGATTTACACAAGCTCTACAAAACTTTACAAAAAGTGTTGAGGTGTGTCCCGCTCTCCCCTACGCTTCTAGAGGGCGGTCAGGTTAGTTTCACATTCTATATTTACTGCATATTTCTGTACTGGGAAAGTACCAACCACACAGCTCTCTCTCTCGCTCTGTCTCTCTCTCTCTCTCTGTCTCTCTC